AGACGTAGGTGGGCGGATAATATTAAAATAGAACTTAGACAGGATGGTTTGGAAGGGACTGGATCGATCTGACTCAGGACAGGGACCAGTGAACAGTCTTGTGAACACGGTAATGAACTTTCGGGTTCCACAAAATACTCGGAAGTTCTTGAGTAACTGCACAAATGGCGGTTTCCCAAGAAGGCGTCAGCTCCATGAGTGACTGAGGCGCATGGAGTCAGTATTGTGTCCACGTTGGTTCATGTACGAGTCATTCAGTCAATCCACAATCCTGCGGTCCTTCCTTGCCATCATCTGTTTTTCTTTGTACCCTCATTTATCCACGTTATCCTTCAACACTCTGCGTCTCCAAGCCTGTTCTTGTTCTTCTAACAGAAGACTAGTCACAACAAACAGCTCGTGCTGTGCTTCTTTTAACTAGATTTTTCGGGCGAATAGGTGGGAACACCCGTCTTCTTGAAGAAAGCAGTCTTATGGGATGTGAAGCCGTGTAGATGTGGTGTTAACCGACGTTTCGGAGGAACACATCGCCTCCATCTTCAGGGTAGAAGGAAAATAAGAAATCCGAAAGCGAAGGGAAAGTGAGAACAGATGCAAGCAGTGTTATCACTGTCTCTTCGCTTGAAGATTACTTATTTTTCCTTCTACCCTTAAGATGGAGGCGATCTGTTCCTCCGAAACGTCGGTTAACTCCACATCTACACGGTGCCACATCCCAGAAGACTGCTTTCTTCATAGTCATCGCCGTGAAAACCTAAAATCTTACAACCGTCTTCCTATTTGTATTTTTTAATTAGGGAGGTTAACTGTCGGTATGTAACATGTAATTGCGGCTTTTGGGCTCTAGGTTCTACACGTGTTGAAGTTGTTCCAGTGTTTCGGCGTAGGCGTTAAATTCCAGTAACATTTTTCACTCAGAGTAACGAAGAAGACTTCGATGCAAGGCGAAACGATTGAAATAAAGGGGCTGCTAAAATCCGAAAGCCGAAATTACCCTTTAGTTCTGTAACTATTAATGAAAGACAGTAATGCCTGTGCAACATATATCTGTTAACAATTTTAAGAAGTAATAAAGCTCAGATTAAGAAATTTGAGTTTATTGATGTGATTAAAAAAGGAAGGGGCGCTGGGAATGTGGATTTGAATCCAATCTTGAAATCTACCGCAATACTTGCAAACAGCCTAACAGCCGTGGCCACAGTACGTATTGGTCAGAGCTAGAGTCAGAGTTACTTCACGACTGGCGGTTTACTGCCAATCAGTTCGTCTTTGCGACAAGCCCCTTGAGGCCACCACCAGTAATTTTATATTCCAGTGAACATTTGCGGTTATAATCCTTACAGTCCTCTCTGATAGGAAGATATTTCTATCGTTTACAATTGCTCCTGGCCCTCGCCAGCTCAGTCATTCTCAGGTTCTAGTCCCGCGGGACTAATGACTACATTTTACTATGTCGGATTTGAGACTCCCCGAAACTGGTGGGTCATGTCCCCGTATTTATAGCCCCCAGGAACAGGGTGGCCCTGTTATCACTCAAGGCACTGGGTTCTCTTTTCGTCGCCTCCTACACTAAGCAGGGCTACGATGGAGGTATTCCATCGGGCCCACACACGGGGTGACAGTACTGTCTGTTTTGAAAATGTGCCTAATATACGTACACCGGGGTAGACCGAAGAGAGAACACTTAGTGCAACACCCAAAAGACAGGAGACTACAATTGCTAGGCAAAGGCCTTTTTATTATTGGGTATGCGTAGGTAAGTCCAAATGTTTTTTAGCTTACTTTCCCCAATAAAGAAATAGGCTTATGAGGTCACCTTGATCTGTGTCTTTGTATCTATCCCCTTCGTTACCAGGCAACAGCTCGATAAACACGTTGCTGCTGCAAAGAACACACATGCAACAATATAAGAATTGTTGGACACGGTGTTTTCTATGCTTTACATGTCGTAGCAAAGGGAAGTAGGAGATTAGTTTTTCCCAGAATATCTTTCTTTTTTAATATGGAAAGTAAACTAGTAATATTGTGATATGACGCATGAAAGGCTGAATAGTGAAGCCAGAGAAGTGTTGCGGAGACGACTATTGCTAAGCGACGGCTTATCATAACACGTTTTCTCGGCAACGAATATGCACACAACAGTAGAGGACTTGTCGATGGTGATGCCTTCTCTTTAGTCCACCTTCAAGCTGTGTAAATGAAACAGACTGAAAAAACACGTGACAACTGGTAAAAGAAGTGGAATTATTTCCTGTCAAAGTAATGTAACAACATGTAATTACAAATTAGTGTAATAAGTTATTGCATATGCAGTAATGAAAAAAGACAAACAATTAAATATAGCGATTTACATTTCAGGGGAGCAAAACTTACTGTGCTGAGCTTTACATAATGGAAATAATTACTTATATATGATGTCGGCTTTACTGAAGTCCCCATCGAACCTTGTCCCGATGGCCAAACAGTCCATTTCATCACGAACTATATTTGGTAACTTTTCTTTTGGCAGATTGGGCCTATTCCATCACCTCCCATAACTGACCTGTAGGGCTGCTCCCCCACTGCCTGCGTAACCTACTTACTCCCCGACTGATGTAATTGCCTATGAACAGAACCCTGCCCACTCTTCTTTCAGCAAGAGTTTTATGCGTGGGTTTATAAAAAGCGGTAGTAACCTTGACCGGCCCAAACAATCGTCCCCAAGTGTAACCCTCTAAAGATACAATTTCATGTAGCTTATCATTCAAACTTCGGGCTACTAGGTGGTCTCTAATGATATTTCCTATACTGCATCTACTAACAGGAGCCGATCGCAGCGGCCGCGCCGTCCAAGGCATGAACAGTCCCTGTCCGCCCGAACGCCGGGACTGCGTGCCCGAACCCCACCCAAGGCACGAACTTCCCTGTGCACCCACCATGTGTGCGCAGGCAGGAGCCCCACGACGGGCCAAGGAGTCGCACCGACCGCGTAGAGAATCGGGAACTAAAGAAAAGAGACTAAGGTCCAACGAAGGCCTGTAGAGCCATAGATAGATAGATAGATAGATAGATAGATAGATAGATAGATAGATAGATAGATGGTTAGTTATAGATATACAGATAGATAAGCGGCCTCCGTAGTCTAGGGGTAACGTTCCCACCTCATGACTCAAGGTACGCAGGTTCAAACCCGGCGGAGGTCGTGGAATTTTTAAGGGCGGAAAAAATTCAGGGAACAAGTCCTCCGGGAGTCGTAGATTTACGGCACGTAATAGATCCTCATGTCTCTAGGAGACCTCTGAGCAAAATTAGGAAACAAGTTTCCCGCCCAAGTAGTTCCCAATGTTTCTGGTAGATGGGGGAACTATCAGGTACCGAGGGCCGACCTCGTTAGCTGAACGGGGCTGAAGCACACACCAGTACCGGTAGAGTATGGTGACAGTATGAATTAAAGGGGGACGCACAATGGACCAATAGCTGGTCTAAGTGCATGGGGAAACCCACCCCCTCTAATAATAATAATAATAATAATAATAATAGATTGATAGATAGATAGCTCGATAGATTGATTGATTGATTGATAGGAACGAGGACTCATCATCATCTGTCAGTGACTGAACACTTATCAGTAGAAAGATTCTGGATACTTTCGGTATAGATACACCGATGGGAGATTCAAACATACTGAAACACAGAACGTCTCTTCTGTAACATTGCTTACGTAATGTATATGGCGTACCTTGATCAGTAGAGTGGATGCATTTTAACAAAACTGCTGGCACGCTATACTGTCGAATTCGGGTTATCCAGCTGGTTCATAGCTTATTTTGCGATTTTTTCTACTGCAGAAGGGCGTTAATTATGTTGAGAAGATGAGCGCGAATGAGTAGTAGACAGGATTTTATATGAGTCTATTATGGCTTATTTGAATGTACCGTTGTAGCTTTCGTCTCTCTTTATAGCCTGGTCGATATCTCGAATACAAATTTAAATTTTTACAGCTGCATCAGCCAGGAATGTTCAACCTATAGTCCGTCTGTCATCTGTTATTTTTTTCCCGCCATCCTTTAATGGCCTGCAAAATTTGGTTCTTGTTGTATTCAGAAAATGAAATAGTCATGTGTTCCTTGTTTGGGAACTTTGTATGTATCCTCGGGTTTTTGCTGTTGCTTTGTGGATTTTAAATTCAGGTTACGGCTTCAAGATTTAGAAAACGCGAGACTTTTGCATACTAGCATCTCCCCTTGATGTAAATTTTGAGACCGTTCGAGAGAGTATAAGTGGAGGTCATGTGTTTGTAGAAATTAAGCTAAAATTCTGTAGTAATCCCTGCTGAAAACATACTGACTTCACTTCCCTGAGGGCAGTTTCCTTAAGACTTGCAGACACGTCGTTGCAGTTACGTCATGGTTCTGAAATACATGCATTCATGAGCCAATGTTTTCGAAAGTGAGATATTCGAAATCACAGTCAAGTAACATGCTTACAGACGAACATACCAAAGCGAATTACATGTTGCTTCCTCTAAGATCGAATTTGAAATTTGCAGTGTGATTGTACTTATGATCAATAGTTTCGAACACATTTTAATAATGAGATTAATTATTTTTTTTGTAAATTATTTAAACAACAAAAAATGTGGGAGCCTCGACATCTCACAATGCTATGAGTCTTCATGGCCAGTTACAAGGATACAATTTTACCTTTTTTTACTTCGGAATGTTCTAGGTTATATGAAGTTATCATGCCCTAAAACACAAAGTTGGATAAACAGTGCAACGGGGAGCTGCAATATAATATTATGAACTGTAGTCTGGAAGTGAATTTTTAGAGAAAAAGAAACAAATTCTATATTTAATACAATCTTTGCATAAGTCTGTCGTTTTCAGAGATAAATAAACAAATGCCACGCTTCGCGTACATTTCCAAACTTAAATCAGTAGCGATTACAATAAAGCAGGCCGAAAGATACCTTTATTGAGTTCAAATTTAACTGAAATCAGACTTCTTTTGTTTTTCAGATACATTCTCAGTGCTCTTCTGCGGCACCTTCACACCTCAGGTTGGTCTGAGAAGTAACTCTGTACATTTGTAATCTGGGGGTGCTCCGTTCAAATTTCAGCCGAGACAACAAGTCGTTTTTCGTGGTGTTCTTCAGTACTTCCAAGGAATATGCTGGGAAAGTACCTCGAAAAGGCTACGATCACTTCTTTCCAAATTCTTTTCCAATTCGTCATCGATGAATCATCCTACAGCAGGAGACTGTATTGTCTCGATACTGAAAATAATAATAACACAAAAAGCTAAAAAAAGATGACTTTGGAGCATACATTAAAAAATTTATATATACTTTTGTGTAGTGTGTGAAAAAAAAGTGATCATTGAATCCTTCACTCACTCATGGAGATGAGCCCTTCTTGAGAAGCCGCCAATTGTTGAGCTACTCAACAATTTCCCGGCATTTTATGGAACTTGAAGGTTATTTGCCGTGTTCACAAGAGCCCTCCACTGCTCCATATCCTGAGCCAGATCAATCGAATCCATCCCATTCCATACTATCTCTCTAAGAACCCTCTGTATTGATACTAAAGTTTTCTTGTGTCATCACATAACAAGGTTTGATTATTTATTTTATTGAAACATTTGACACGAACCTTGAAACCATAAGTCAGTCAGTTTATTATATTAATTCCAATACGTTTTCTTACTCTTTTGACTGTCACCAGGTATGCCTGAATGAAAAACAATAAAATATATTATGTTAATGCTGAATTATATAATGAAAATGGATCGGACTCCTTTTTAAAGTATGTTTTTCTCTTTGTGTTTTCGTTGTTAGAAGAATAAAATATAGATATTCGCGTTACAGCTCAGCATTTCTCATAGCACATTTAAGTAGTACTGATGTTGCTTGCATGACTTGCAATAATTATTACTAATTATTATTATTATTATTGACTGGGGGAACGCGGTAGTTGAGTTGGTCAAGGCATTATGCAGCACCACAAGGTCGCAGGTTCCATTCCCGATGAGGTTATTGGATTTTTTTCAATTTACCTAATTCTTCCAGCCGCATTATGGGGTCGACTCAGCCGTTAACAGAAATGAGTACAAGGGGATAAAGGGCTTCAGGCACCCATCGCCATTTGTGAGTCGATTTTCTAGAAAATGTGGAAGTCTCGACGTCTCACAATCCCATGGGCCTCCATGGCCTGTTACAGGGACAGCTTTACCTTTCATTCTCTCTATTATTAATTGTCTTTTCACTAAATCTGGCCATAGCTCAAGCGATTAGTCGCTGGCTTCCCACCGCGGCAGCCCGTGTTCGATTCCGTGTCTGGTCAAGTGGGATTTGTGATGGACAAAGGGGCGCTGGGGCGGGTTTTCTCCGAGTACTTCGGTTTCCCCTGCCAATCTTCATTCCACCAAATTCTCCATCATCATAATCACTCGGGGCAGGCTACAATAGGCCAATCAGTGGCCGCCGTGCCGAGTGGACCCAGTTGGACTCCACCCCCCACTAAGCGAAAAAAATTCTGGACATTTATTTTTGACTTCTCGCCAAAATGGAGAAGCATGACTTCTCAGCGAACAGTTACGTTTAAATTTAATGTTTGTTTATTATAAGGGAAGAATTTAGTGCACTCATCTGACATTCCTTGCATCTAACGCGTCTGCTAAGTGTACGCCCTATATGTTTAGAGTCTTGTTGTATATGAGGAGACAGACTGCAACAACCCAATCATGATATGAAACTGTTATGTGTGTCTGTGGGTCGCCAATGATGTCGGAAGTTGCTGACGAAATGTTGGCGACCACGTGCCATTTCTATAAGTCGAATAATGTCGTCACAGAATAAAGGAGACACAAGCTGTACGTTACGTTGCAGAAATACAAACTGGTTCAGTATTCGCCAGTTCTGTTGCGGAAAAAAGAAAAGAATGAAACGGTTAACACAAAGTCCCTTGGGGCGTAATGGAATAAAAACCAGGGACGAATGATTCCTCTCAAATAGACAATGCGATCCCCTACAATGGTTTATCTAAAAAAAAAAGGGGTGGCAAGAAAAATTGTCGCCGGGTGTCTAGCAAGGGGTGAATTCTGGGAGGGTGGGGAATATCCATTTTGGAATTTAATACTTAGGGCAGGTGTGACATCAAGTCTACTTATAAAAAAATTTGGAAGTGAAAGGGCGCTGGGCTGATGCAACCCATTTTATATGTCTGATTGGAATCTTTGTTGTACCGTTGTGTAAGGGCAGAGCAGTGCAGGCTCCCACCTGGGATGTACCAATCGGTTCGCTTGTTTTAGACGTTAAAAAAGGAAGCGAAACGAATTCGGGTAGCTTAGAAAACGTGCTCCAAACGGATCTTGCATCTGGTACCCTTTCTGGTGGTGAAGAAACTGAATGGGAGAGGAAATAAGCGATGGGGTGAATAGGGTTGGGTTTTTAGAGGTACTGTATACACGAGGGGTGAGAGGGATGTAGAGCATAACTAGGGGATGTAGTATCTCTCTTTTTTTGCAGTCTGTGTGTTGGGGGGATGAAGTCTGTTGTAAGAAGCAACAAAAAGTTTTTCTTCGTCTCTTAGAACATTAAAAAAATCGTACTCAGCTTTTAAAGATTTTGAAAATTGTAAAATAATACTATAACATGTAGAGCCATTGCTATGCAATGAACGAGAAATGGGAGAATATACGAGTCCGTTTCTGGGCAACGGCTCGGTAATCATGTTCCCGTTGCTAAGCAGCTGCAACAGTTGAACTACAATAATGGATTCATGCTGTTTTCTATGTAGTCCGTGGCAAGGATTTATCATGAAGACAATTGGGCGACCCAACATAGTTCAGTTAGGCTGAGTGGAGATGACGATATAATTACATGGAGTTAAGAGATGTGGAGTGTTAACAAGCGGTTAACGGCGTATCCACAGAAGCTGAGGAATCTCCATTGTTAGATTCGTTAGTAGGAAACGTCTAATGAACGCAGACTGAGAGGACTTAAAATGTAGTGATTTGTAAAGTATGTAGATCAGCGACAGCGCTGTAATTGCTTGTAGCTCCGAGTCGTGTGTATAAGTCGTCAATAAATCTATTCACTAATCCGTACCCCGCCTATCGTCACGCCCCTAAATCCTGACATTATATTATCTTTACATACAAATAATAGGACAGTCATAGTGTCCGCATGTACTGTATTGGGTCACGGGTTTCGTATATTATTTGGGGTATAGATGTAAGTTCACACGAGTCTATGTTGTCATACTTTACTCTCCAAAGCACAATGATGACAATACATAGCCTTAACAACAAAATCTCTGCATTATTTCCACGCATCCGTACGGGTCTCAGAATAAACTGCAACTTAGTTACCTAGAATGTTGCGTTCCATCCGCCATTTTGTCAAAAAACTGAGGTCTCAAGTAAGTGGAAAGAATCCTTTATTTCC